CATCAAATTTACCATAGAACATGAAAACAATAAACAGTTATATTTTCTTAACCTCAACATTATTAGATCGGACACACAGTTGAAAACCGAAATTCACCGCAAGGACACACATACTGGCCTCTACATCCCCTGGAATTCCGCTCATGACACCACACAAAAAATCAATACACTTAAAAACCTCATAAACACAGCCACAAGACTCTGTTCAACGGACTACATAAATGAAGAAATTAACCACATAAAGCATTCCTTTATTCCCACCAATAAATTCCCACCAGCTATTGTTGAAAAGCTCTCTAACATTCCCCACAACAAAACTCAACTCACGAATAAAACTGATACTAACAAACCCAACAACAGTACACTACAGTGCAGTTTACCTTTTGTTCCTGAAACCAGCTCAAGAATTATTCACACTTGGACAAAACTAGCCATTAAACACAATATTCCTGTCAATATCAAATTCTCACAAAAACCCAGCCCTAAATTAAAATCATTACTAAACAAAAATTATTTAGAATCACACAATACCAACATAATTTACAAAATAGCATGCAATAACTGCCCAGATTTCTACATCAGAGAAACAGGAAGAAAATTGGAAACCAGATTGACAGAACACAATTAGAAAACCATTATTAATGGTCTCCAACCATTATTAGTCTCAAAGTGGGTTCCTCGTCATCAAATTCAGTAGCCTTATTTTTTCTTCACTATGTTGGTTGTCCAAAATATAATTCATACAGCTTTCAAATATGGATCTTAGGGTACAAAAATATATTAGGCACTAGAAAAGAATGTCTTGTAACTACTGTAATTTATCTGGCTTTCTTACTAAGCTAAAAATAGAAAACTGTTCAGAGCAACAACTTTATTCATCACATGTCAAGCTTTTCTTGCAAACTATTGTCTTTGACCATCAAAACTAAACAAATGGTCATAATATTCTTATACATTACAACATGCTCTTTCTATTGGTTATGAACATGTTCATCACACAAGTAGGCCTGAGTGAATAATTGGCTTGAAATGTTGAAAAGATGAGAGTGGCTCTGGTAGGTTTGACAAATTTATGAAAATCTCAGCAAATCAAGAAGATAGGAAGTTAAAATTTTATATTCTTCCTTTTCATAGAAAAATGGCACAGAAAAATGAAGACTTTTTCAAATATTTCCTTTAGGAATTAAGAAACTAAAAGTTTTGACACCAAGGTTATTGGCATATAGTAATAATAAAGTTGCTTAATTAAATTTTATATTCTTCCTTTTCATAGAAAAATGGCACAGAAAAATGAAGACTTTTTCAAATATTTCCTTTAGGAATTAAGAAACTAAAAGTTTTGACACCAAGGTTATTGACATATAGAAATAATAAAGTTGCTTAATTAAATTTTATATATAACTCTGAAAAAGGTTGTGACATGCACACTTTGACTCAACCATGTGAGTAGGGTTAACAGAACAACATCATTTGTTTTCAAATTCCATACGAAATGTCCTTTACAAAGAGTAGGATTACTGCTTTTACACACTAAAACATAACATTACGGCATACATTAAAAACATGATTTTTGAATTATAGGTTTTCCTTTTTTAACAAAAAACTTTTAAACATGCTGGGCTTCTAAGGAGATATTTACACACACATACTTAAATGACAGCCACAAGACAGGAGCAGATTCACTCGTGTAAAAGATAATAAAGGATAAATTGACATGTCTAAATAATAACTTTATAAATTATATTTTGTGCAATGTTTTAGGCAGATGCCATGGTTAGGCAGTAAAGGCCATGTTAGATTTAAATTAGGCTCAACACTTAGAAACAGCAATGTACACTTTTATGTATAACATGTAGGTTTTTTTCTCATTCACAAAGTTTAAATAAAAGTTTATATTTAGACATATCAATTTATCATTTATTATCTTTATCCACACATATGTATTTTGCCAATAGTGATTTTACTTTCTTACAATACATCATGTACTGGATAAAGAATTTCTAATTCTAAATTATTCACAACAAAATGGATAGGATAAAGTCAGTATACTTACCACCAACTCCAACTAGTCTTGCTCGTCTCACTACATGTGTGTAAAGAAAAACAGCAATGTAACACATAACCTCCAATAAATTATACAAAGTATAACTTAAAAATGAAATCAAACCAATTTTTCTTATGCTATTTTTCTATCTTTTTCATACAATACATTATCAATTTGATTTCAGGTTATACTGTAACATCAAAACACAATCACACTTTAAAAAATAACTCTTCAGTTTTAAAAGTTTGTGCATATACAGAAATGAAAACAAATATTACTTCATCTGAGAACAATCCTGAAAACTATAAGTGTGATATAATCGAAAGTTAACATTTCCTTACACTGAAAATGTATTTCTGATAGATAATTACCTCCCCTCACGTAATGGCTTTCCTCAATTTGTGCTGCCCTCTATATGCACAATTTTCATTTGCCACTAGGTGTGATGTTCCCACCTACCCTTACATGCACATGGTATAGCTGCACTGTAGCATGCAAATGAGCATGCGACAACCTTCCACCAATAGGAGAATGATACACCCTCCTAGTGCAACTGACACCCTCTATACTATAGAAAACTACCACCACTTTGAAATTAGGCAAAAAAGATGCACCAGAAGTCGAAAGGATGGGTGAGAAGCGTGAGTGGAGGTAAGAATCTATCACAAATACATTTTCAGTGTAGGAAAATGTTAACTTCCAAAACAATACCTTACCTCTTCTCACATAATAGATAGAATCCCACACTGAAATCATTGAGGGACCAGTGCAAAAGTTACCTAGTGGAGCACTCTTTGGAAAGTGTGATACCCTAATGTATAAAGTCACACCCGTAGGAGACCACACCACACCTGTACCAGGTATACTCTTTGCCCATTGTAAAGTTACAACTCACTAAATTGGCTGGAAAAGAAGTTTGTCCAATCTGTAATTGGATGCACCAGATGGTGTAAAATGTCTAGGGTGTATCAGACCATATTCAGTGGGTCAACTCCATTCTGAAACCAGGCAACATTAGGTATTTTACTTCTGGTTTGCAGTAAGAGGGTCCAAGACGTCCTCACTTCAAAACCAAGAAGCAAAAGGGAAAGAAAACTTACATTCTGACAAACCAGACAGGGGATATGTGTGCATACCCAGTACACAATCAACACCAGGCCACCCAGGAGCCCAACATCTAGGTGACAGTAGAAAGGAGGAATGCAAATGTGATGGGTCAATTACAGTGCAAAACCAGGCAGCACTGGGAATGTTTTGTCCAATTCACAACAGGAGAAGGGCCCCTACCAACAACCACTTATGTGAGGACTTATGTTGGCTGGTCATATGCCAATCCAACACGAGACTGCCCAGAAACCAACCTCCAAGCAGTGGTAGGATAGGGGAAAGCCAGCCAGAGGGGAATACTGCATGTGGTGGATTTGTCCAGTCCTAAACCAGGCAACATTGGGATTTCTCTCCTGGTCCACAGTAGGAGGAAAGTACTCACCATCTACACTGACAGAACACCACCACCATATTCTCAACAGAGTGGAAGTTGGCACACTCAGGAGGAAGCCTCCATGGACAACCACTCAAACGGCTATGAACTGTTATGTGGCAAGGATTCCCATACTCTACTGAAAGAGGAGGAGTCAACACAGTGGGGAGTCCAGAGGAATGCAACACCATAAGACAGTGCAATAGATGAAAAGCAGACCATTTCTGGTTTATTCAACTAGGACCTGAGGGATGAGCAGTAATCCCGACACGACACTGCTTTACTCATGATAGTCCAGGAGTTGGTACGGTCTGGAATGAGCCTTACTTTTGAAGCAAGACAAAACCTCTAGTGGTCTTGTAGAACACCTCATCTCATCAATGAGGGGTATAGACCTGTAAGGTCATATGGTGCAGCTTTACATTTAAGTATACTTGGACAGACACTACTCACCACAAAGCAGGATCCAGAGATGAAGAATGAGGCCACTGTAAACATAAATTATAAAAAAGTGAGAACTTACCCATTCAAAATCTATACAGGTTATGGAGAATGGCATCAGGTGGGAAGCAATAGTCAGATGAGGAAGAGATGACAAAACGATGCAGGTAGTGCAAGAGAAACATGTGAGGTGTATTCCACATGCCAGCCTGCACTATCTCCTCAAAAGGATGATGGAAATGAGAAGCCAGGGAAAGGGCAAGATGGTGGATCTGGTAAGAGGACACTTGGAATATGCAACAAAAATAACAAAAATGGTCAATAATGTAAAAGCAAGCTGAATAAGTTGACAAAGCCAACTGGTAAGAGTTACAGAAAAGAAAACCTGAATAGAGGAGAAGTTCCATGGGATTAAAAAAAAAGACATGAATGGGAGCCACAAAAAGAAGCAGTGTAGGCAACATAACAATGAAGAACATACATGGGACAAAGAAGACAATCAGAGTCTGATAAAAAAATATAGATTAGCAACAGATGGAAGGGAAATAGGTGTGAAGATGCTGTCCCTTTTTCTGACTGGGGCCAATAGTTTGGGAAAAAATTATAATCAAAATAAAGGAGAACATATGAATGATGATAAAGAATGTGGGAAACATCAATAGCAAATATATCTGACCTACAATGTCCACAAGCAAAGATGAGTAAAAAGTAAGTCTTGAAGAAGAAATGGTACAAAGAGCAAGAGACTAAGGGTAAGGGCATGAAAGACAACACTGAGATTTCAATCTAGTAGAGCAACTGGAAGGAGAGGATGAAGAAGGTAAAGAAAGTGAAACAGGAGAGAAAGGACAGGAGATGGAAAAATATGGCAGAAGCAGGAAAAGCAAAAAGCATTGGGTAATGCCACTCTATAGTCTGCAATTGTCAAAGAGGAAAGTAAAAAAGTCGGAAAGGTGGGGAGCATTTGAATGGGAAGGGGAGATGCCATGATGTAAAGTCCAGCAATGGAAAATGCACCATTTACGCTGATAAACCAGCAAAGAAGAAGAGCAGACAGAACAAGAAATAAGGAAGGCTGCTTTCACTGAGAGTCCAGAACACTTCGCAAGGGACTGGATAAAACCCAATCATGAAGATGGAGTGTGAGTATAGCAGGATGAATGATGTAAGAAAGAGGTTGACGGAGAAGAAATTGGGAAAGAGGAAGCAGCATGGAAGGAGATGACTGAAGGAGGCATAAAAGTGGAAACCAAGGTTATGCTGGCTAGAATAGTGATGAGAAGAACATGACAGAAAGTAGTTTGAATAAGAAAGAAAAAATAGGAAATATGATGGATAGGATGATAGGCATACAGGTAAACAATAGATCAGTCCTGGCTGAATGCATCCACAACCAGAGCTGAAGGATGGAAAACTGTACACCAGAAGAGAGGGAGTTTGGTATTGAGTTGGATAGCAAAGACATCTAGAAGGGGTAACACAACTAGGAGCATAACCACTGGGACACCTGAGGAGCAAAAGACCACTATGTTAGTAGAATCTTGTCAGGATGAGAGAGCTAATCCACTACAAGATTCAGAGCACCTCAGATGTAACTAGCAAAAGGTCGGACTTGTTTAGATTAGACTCAGAAAAGGAGGTCCAGTGATCAAACTCAAAGCAAACAAGACTGAGTGTCCCTTGATGATTCGTGTAAGAGACAATAATCGAATTTTTGGAATGGATCATGACCAGGTGTCCTCATACCACAGGCAGGAAATGATCAAATACCTGAAAAACAGCCAGGAGCTCCAACATTTGGATGTGTTGGGTAGATTCGACCACTAACCAATGACTGACTATCTACTGAGAATCCAAGTATGCCCCCATCCAGTCAGAGATGCATCTGTAAAAAGATGAAGATCACGATGAGAAGGAGGAAGAGGAATGCCAGCCGAGGTATTGTCTCTGTTGAACCACAAGGTAAAATTAACTTGGAGTGTGGAAGGAAGAAAAATGAAGCACTCCAAGGGATCCTGAGCAAGTGTTCCACTGATTATGCAACACCCATTGAAGACAACACCTGTGTGCAAGGCCCCAAGATATTAGGAATTCCATGGATCCCCTCGTCCCCTAAAGCATAGAACCTTTCATGCAAGAAGAGAAGGAGAAGTCCTGGCTTTAGATACCAAGCTTTCCATATCCCTCAAATGTAGAGGGGAAGGGTAAGCCCTGCTGAGACAGGAGTTGAAAAATATCCTCAGATGAATAACATACTGAGCAGGGGTGAGATGTGACTTCTTCAGTTTGACAAGCCACCCAAACAAGCTGCTTCCTGGACAAGGGGATGGGTATGTTTGTGAGAGGCTTGCTGGGAAGGAACAAAAGGATCCAGTTATCTATGTAATGGTGAAACCACTGTCCTAGGTCGTGAATATGACAGGCAAAAAAGCTCTGGTTATTCAACAGAAGAAATACAGAGCTCATGCAAGACTGAATGGTATAGTGCAAAATTGAAACACCCAACCCCATGAACAAACCAAAGATAATGTCAGGATGCAGGAGAAATAGGGATATGAAAATAAGCATCCAAGATATTGATCTGGAGTGAACAACCATCTGAGGTTGAGAGAAAAATTCCATGGTGATATGTGGCAGGAACAGCAAATGGTTGAGGTTCGAGAAATCAATAGGACAACAGGTCTCTGTTTTCTTGGGGTCAACAAACGGACAGGAATAAAATCCCAGAAAGGGAGAAACATTTGTTCGATAGTGTCCTTCTGCATGAGATCCAAAACCACCTCTGAGAGACACTGGCAAGAAAGTGGACCACAAGGGGTGAGGGAAAGAAATAATAATTGGGGATAATAGAGGAAGAGTGAAAAATGAAGGAACAGTATTTCTGCTAGCACCTGAAGAACCCACTAATCGGCAGTGGAAGAATGCCCCAGGTGAGCAAATCTGGCAAACTAACTCCCCATGGGCCTGGAACCCAAGGGGAGTCACTGACGATACTGACACCTGAAAAGGCAACAATGGGCAATCTTACAACTCGTAGCTGAAACATGGGAAGTTGGAACACATAGAGGAGAAGACACTGGAGGGTGAGACACAGGAATGGGAACAGGGGAAGATTGGGAAAAACAGGAAATAGAAGAATGTTAGCATGCAGCCTCCACCCGAGACTCTAAAAGTATCAGGGAGATCTCCAAAAATTGACTGGTGCAAGAAAATAGTCAGGCAAAAGTTATGCACATAAGAAACAGGCAAATGCACATGTGACAAGAGAGTGTCCCTTGTCAAGGAAGGACCCCAACAACAAAGCAACCACATATAGTGGGACAAAGCCAATGAAGATAAATGCACCAACACAGAAAAATGAAGGGCATACATACATATCTGCCGAAAATCCCTCAGGGCTATGGTAGAAAACTTCAGAAACAAGGAAGACAGATGAAAGATAATGTAGGATAGTCGTCAGGGTAAGAAGACAACGAGATAACTGGTCAAGAAAAAATGAAGGATAGCAATAGGATCAGGGCTCCATTCCTGAATCAGTAATTCCAAAATCTGAGAATCAATAAACAGAAACTCCGACCAATGGTAAGTCAAAGCATGTAAGTCTGTCAAACGTGGGGGTCTGGGCATGCTGGCACCAGTACACAGTTGAGTAAGGAATTGTATAGCATGGTCACAAATATCTGAGGAAGGTGGGAAAACCAAATAATTGGATGTTGGGACAGAATGAAGGAGAGAGGGGAAAGAATCATATGAAACAGGGGAAAGACAGAAAAGGTAACAAACCTGAAAGATCATATCCAGAAAGGATAATGACGAATGAGGGAGATCCAGTGGGGTAGACTGGGAAGGAATCACAAAAGCAGGAGGAGGAAAAAGCTATCAGAGTTTTCATCCTCAGGAACAGATTCCAAAAGAAATGGGAGATCAGACCATTGCTTAAGAGATGTAACACTTCAACTCCTGATGCACAAGACCAAGATCTCCTTAGCCAAAACTGTGGAGCATGAAGCCACAGTTGTGTTAAGTGTGGCAGGATGTATATCAGAAGTCGTAGTAGTTACAAGAAACTAAGAGTTCATAGCATTGAAAAAGAAAGATAAACTCTCCACAAGATACCAAATGAGAACAAACTTGTTGTCAAAAAAAAGGTAGCAAAAAGTTAAAAGTGAACCCAAAAATGCGATGTATTGAGCGAAAATTTTGTACAACTGCACTCATAAAAGCCAAATTAAGAAGTTAACATTTTCTTAAATCGAAAATGTATTTCCAATACTTCTTACCTCCACTTACTCGACTGCCACGATTTTCTCCTTTGCCCACCTAAGCATTGGTCTGATTTTTCTCGCTTACTCCAGTCTTTTATATCCCACTTAATTACCCTTGGCAATATTTGTTACGTGACACTCTCCACCTCTAACACCGGCTCTTAGTGGGGAGGAAGGGTGGAAGTAGTGTGAAACGAGGCAAGTATTATTAGAAATACATTTCTGATTTAAGAAAATTTTAACTTCCAAAACATACCTCCTCTCACACTTAGAGGTAGAATCCTACATTGATAAGGTAGAGAAGCCAATAAGGGCATTATCCATAAATAAACTGTCTACATAGATCATGGTTGTTTCAATAGAAGATTGGCACCCTAATGGGAGAGTTGCACTTCATCCAGAACAAGTATGCTCTTCATCTGGAACTTAATCCATGTACTGTGAGTAGATTTTTTGCATGATTTGTCATCACTATTGGCCAGGCTCCAATCAGATAGCCAAAGTTCCACTACTCAGGGTTGGAATTATAGGGCTATGGTCTCTATATCACATGCTGGTGGCTAGAGCAATCGGACTGCAATCTATATATATTTACTTATGAGTAGATCCCAATCTGTAGCCATAGAGTGATGCATTCCGAGCCACCAGAATCACAAAAACAAGGTAAGCAACACTGAAGTGGGCAAACCTTCTCCTCAACCTGAAGAAGTACAAAAGGCAAAAGGCAAGGATCAGACTGGTGGGACCGTGCATGCCTTACTCAATCTGAGAAAACAGAACTCATCCAGTCTGGAATTGTGAACACCCATTCTCACTCCTCAACTGTGCAGGCAAGGTAAATTATAATTACCCCCGGAATTATGGGGAGGAGGTGAAACAAACTATGTTCAGCCAAGGACCCAGGATGGGACCACTCTGCAATTCAGAATTATGTGGAGACAATGGCCCATCTGCCATGAACAATGTACTGAACCAATATTGATCAAAAAGAAGGACCATGCTCAACCCAACCAGATAGCTGAGTGTCAAATCTGAACCAGTATTACGAGTAGGCTTCCACATAGACTGGTGCCTCTCCTACTGACATGTGGTAAAAAACATCTAGGGACCTGGGTAGGAGGGCTCCCAACTTCACCCTCTTCTCCAAGAGTGGAGGAATTCACTCTAATTCTCTGGAGGAAAAGCCTCTGTCCACCACCCCACTGACTGGAAACCAAGTGTGGTAAGGACTCCCTTGCTCCACTAGTAAAATCTGGGGGTAATGCACATTGGGGAGCCCTAAGGAACAGTGCTCTAAAAACAGTGCAATATGTGAACCAAGTTCCCTAAATTTTTAAAAGCAAACTGTCCCCGATATATTCAATCCAATGATCAGCAGGGATGGTACTGGAAACTAAATTGCCAGTAGTTTGGTTTTCCAATGCCAAACCAACCCACCAATCAGAGTTGCAAAATGAGAGCTAATCCAACAGAACCTTAGAATGCAGTATCTATTATGTTGAGAGAATTTATTTGGGATGAGAAAATTTGTCTACTGCAGTCATCATCCATGCAACCTGGCAAGCTAGTAGGGTGATATGACAGGAGTGGTCCCGAGAAAGGAGGTTCAATATTCGAAAACAAGGAGCCCTGAACCAAGTGCATCCACAAGACACCATCACTCACATTGTCAGAGTTATGCCTGACGATTTTCCACTTAATAAGCCCAGACCATGAGGCATTGCCTTTTGAGGAGCAAGGAGGACTAAAACATTGTGTAGGGAAGCCTCATCATCCATGCATAGGCTCTGGAATTCCTGACTGTTGGTATATGAACTCCATCCCTGAAGCAAGACATTTGTGAAAAGATGGAGCTCTGGATGAGATGGTGGTAGAGGAACCCATATCTTAGTAGTGTCCCAACTTAACAACCCCTCAGTAGCCCTAGAATCAAGTTCCAAATCCCAGTAATCTGCGGGAGATGGAAACCCTACAGGTTGGGCGGATAATAGTGGTGAAAATGTGAAATGAATGACAAATCCTCACCCAAGGACCTGTAGTGCTCCTGGATCAGTGATTAATATTAACACACGTCCAGAATTTCTTGGAACCAAGCCCCACAGACTCTGAAAGCATAAAATAATCACCAGTACTGCTGGTGGTGATCCGACTGAGCAGCAGAACCCTTGGATATAGACAGAATCTGAGTTCCAGCACATGGAGGGGTTGATGTTGGAGGTCAGGTCCCATGAATAGGGCGGAGCTATGAACCCCTGTAGGAGCTAATGAAATTCGAGATGCTAACAACAACAGAGATGAGTGTAGAAGCCAACAATTGAATCAATGTGCATGCTAGCAATGGTTCCAGCTCATTATCAAAGAAGTTGGGGATCCTGAGAGTCTTCCAACAAAGTGAAGTGAAAGGAAAAAAAATTTTGGATTTTAGATTTGTAAGTCTGTAGACTTTCCTTGTCTGTCCAGGGGACATTGATCTATTTAGGTTAACTACAAACTCCACCTTGAACCCCAAAATTCAAGAAGCAAATGTGTTATTTGAGAGTCGTAAAATGCCTCCACCTGGCGGTGGTAGTCTAAATCGGATAAGGCATAGCTGTTCCTTCACATGTCTGAGAAATAAACCTCCCTGCATGAAACATGATCTGTGGAGGGAGAGAAAAACTAAATATTCGCTCCCAGAACTTTCAGCCATCAAGTAAGGTGCAGGTTCAAAAGCAAGTGGAGAAAGACCCAAAACATCACATTCTTGATGAACCAACAGAAGAAAAGAAATTAAAGGTAGCTTAACTCAAAGTGGCCTCCTTTTTGTTTTTATATATCATTTAAGGACTGTGTTGATTTCTGTTGATTGGAACATTTGGTCAGGTAAGTTTGCTTTGTTAGAGCAAAGCAACAATGGGCTACTTGTTGTGTTCACTATAGGGAATCAAACCACGGATTCCACGGTTCCAAGTCCACAAACTCACCACTGTCCTACAAGGAGACTAAAAAGCCAACAGACTAAAAGAAGGCACAGGAAAAAGAGAAAATAAATTCTCTCCAGAATGTTGGGGATTGCCCTTAATTGCAGCCTCAAAGCCTCCCAGAGGAACATGACATACAGAATATGTGTCTCCATCTCACTACAAATAAGATCACTGACAGTCTCAACTGAGAGTAACTCTATCCCCATCACCCAGTTGTTGTGTGATGCTAGATATCAAAGGAGGGATAGGAGTGATCTGATTTGACAGAAATAATAATCCGGGAATTCATACCGCCGATCGGCTTGCCAATCAGTGGAAAAAAATTATATTATTTTTATTTTATTTTTTTTACAAAAATCAGCTATGCATCTCCAAATGTTTGTAAGATTGGGAAACCCATTATTGATGCTTTGTCAAGAAAAAGTGATAGCATTATCTGAATGAGATGCTTATATACAGTACCAGGGAGAGTGCATGGACATAGGCGGAGTGGTCACCAGACAAATACCTCCAAGAGCAATTAAGTGGGGTATAAAAGACTGGAGAAAGTGAGAAAAGATCAAACCAATGATTAGATGGGCAAAGGAAGAAACCCTGGCAGTCGAGTAATGGCTTAAGTGTGAGAGTAGGTAAGTCTGTTTAGGAAGTGATGATAGTGCTCTACAGTATAGAGGGAGTCAGCTGAGTTTGGAGTGTATGTCACACTCCTATTAGTGGAGGGTCGTCACATGCTCATTTGCATGCTACAGTGCAGCTCTACCATGCAGCAAGTTAAAATATTAATTCCACTCTAGAGTTTGAGATGTTTGCTTTTATTTGAGTTTTAGAAATAAGCAAACCTACCTGTTATGCATAAAAGTGACATTGTTGTTTCGAAGTATAGAGATTCCACAATCCAAGTTAACTAATACTGTTCTTATTGTCTGACAAACTTCAATAATCAAGTTAAAATGTGCACCATGCAAGCAGTTGATTCATTTTCTGCACAAATGATTTGGTAGGTCAAAACAAACGATTCCCAATTTCTAAATAAAACTAAAATTACAGTCTGGTACATCTATACTGTCTAGATGATGATGTAAAATGAAGAGGGTACTTTCTCTCAACCTGGAAAAAAAATACAAAGAAAAAAGACAATATAGAAACAAGAATTTATAAAAACACACACGGGTAGTACATTGTACACCAAATTAAACATAGAAATGGAATTAGCAATTAGGAAAAGATTAAATGTAATCTATGTCACGGTTACCTTTTTTTTTGTGAGATAATTGAATAAACTCCCAAGAGATTTTACTTGGTAACTATGAGATTATTTTACTTGTCTAAATACAGTAAAATAGTCACAAAAAGTTTAGGGCTAAGAAATGTTTAAATTATTTTATTACCTAAAAATACTGTTACGTTTCTGTTCGTTAGTTAATTTTCTGTAAATTCGTTCCGACGAAACTTTAGCGACACAAGTCCTTTCTTAAATAAACCTGGTTTATTCTTTCTGAATATAACTTTGCGATACACTTAATTTCAAAAGTCGCGCTATAACAAACGCTATAATTATCAACGAATGTCTCACGTGCTCACCTCAGCAATACTCAGTTCAATCTCACACACCTTGTCCCGTCACGCTGTGATCGTCTTATATATACAAGACTAACTCATATCTAGTAAACGCTAGAGCATTCATGAAGGAACAGGATATTTCTAGAAGGACGTGGTGTGATACTAGTCACGTGACCTCGCTGACGCAACAATACATTTAGTCAAGAATGAAATAAATCAAAAGTACTCGTTTCATTATAGGTTGAATTTTAAGGAACCTTACTTGGTGACTGCTGGATTATTTTAATCACTGTTTGGTTGTTTGTTGCTAAGTGCAAAGCTACAATGGAATATCTGTACTGAATCCCAGTTTTTAGCATATGAGCCTTTAAACTTACCTCTGACCCACTGGAGGAGAACTAACTCAACATGGAGACATAGTGTCCAGTGAAACTTATTTTTTTCACTGACTAACTTACAAAATAAATTATGTCACAATATATGGAAGATACGATATACTTTCTTATGGATAAACAGTTTTATAATTTAAGTAACAAGTTTACATTTGAAATGATTTTAATTAAGCTGTGGCCTCTATTTTCCTTTACACTGAAACTGAATTGATGATGCACACAATTCCAATAACAAAACTAGCAACAACAACAAAAAACATACTAACTGAACTGATAAACTTTTTGGGTTGATGGTCAGAAGGAATGGTTCAACAGGTGAGTTACCTGGATTAAATATCCAGTTTTCTAGGCAACAAAGCTGGAAGCACACACATCTATGATGCCTGAAGTAAGTGATATGGTGATGAAACATTGATATGCATGACTAGCATTCTAGCAATACATATACAGATTTCTTTAGGGAAAGACAGAATGATTACAAAATTTTGGTCAAAAGTACCAAAAGATACGCAGAAATCAATATAATACTCTGGAGAATATTCACCACTAAAATCAAGTGGTGCAAAAGTTTGGACTAAAAAAGTACGATTATCAACTAGCCCATATGACCAGAAAGGCAAATGAAAATCTACACCTGATGCAACCAATTCATTAGAATGAACTGGTAAAAGAATGACAAGATTGTTTCAAATTTTAAACAATGGAAAATAATTTGTACAAAAACCATAAGAAAATATCAAAAACTCTCTCTCTAGGATACCATGTTCAAAATACGTGAGATTTGTTTAGAACATCATCTTAAAATGAATATATTGCATTTTCCAAAAGATGCAAATCCTCCATCACCAAAGTAAGTCATTGATTTGACAAAGACCTCTGACAAGAATCATGACCCTTGGGAAAAATATTTGCGTGAGTGCCAGTGACACTGTTAGAAAAACTTTGTAGTGTGAGAAGTTGTGAAGAAATCACAGAACAAACATGCTTCTCCATGGGGGAAAAAAAATGTTTGGGCTGCATCTTAATCCAGCATTTTGTAGAGTTGTATGACAACATAGAACAGTAGTATTAGGAACTGATGAGTGTGTGGATTGGATTCAGAGAATTAATGATTAATCCTATCTGGAAGGCAGATCCTAAGTGATCTCAGTTACTTCAGAAGTTACCTCTTGCATGGTAAGACTCAACAAGTCAACAAAGTAGAAGTGAAAATTGAAATGCTGATATTTTCCTTACCTAAAAATGCATTTGAGATAAATAGTTAGATTCATTGAACAGATAGCTAACATTTTGTTCTACTGTAGGAACATTTTTGCATATGCTCTAAACCTTTAAATGAAACTGCACCCCTACACGTAATAATGTGGACTACATGAGTCTATGATGCCATCAGTATTAAACTATATCCCTCTACCAACAGGAGGTTGACACATGCTCCATGCATAGTACTCCCCTTGAGCACTTTGTATATACTAAAAGTTCATTCTCAATAAAGCAAAAGACATACCAGAAGTAGGAAGAAAGGGTGGGTGGCTCTGTGGAGAGGTAATTATCTATCTGAAATTCATTTTCAGGTCATGAAAAGATAAATTTCAGATATGGTACTCATCTCTTTACACAACAGATAACTAGAATCCCACATTCATAAGATGGTGGAGGGTGGTGTAGATAAAGAAATTAGAAAGAAGAGCTCTTTTATGATAATATAGCAATAGAAAAGGAGAACTCATGGTGTGTGTCACCCACTAGAGGAAAGGGGTAATATGGTGGGAGAAACTGCATCCATTTCTAGCAGGGAATACTTTTCACTAGGGCTGCAATAAAAAAACAACCAAACTGATTTTTTTCTTCTTTAATGCGAATATGTTCATCAGCTTATAAAGTTAAGAGTGAGTAGGTGTCAAGAATGACAGTTTCATTTTGTAGTGACTAATAAGATAATTAGTAATCAATCAGTATCACTGGCAGTAGTTCTTACTTGTGAAAGGGATGTGTAAAGAATCTGCTTATTAAAAGAAGTCACAAATAAGTAGAGAGATAAGCACAGAATCAACATGATACACAGAAGTACAGATAAGAACTCTCAAGGAGGCAAAGTTGAGATGTGCAGATTTGACAAGACCAACTTGAAACAAAATTAGATTGTTAGCTAAGTCAACTAGAATAAGTTTTCCACCAACTCTCACTTAATAAGCCACTCATCCATTAATGATAAAAAAATCTATGAACATGCAGTGAAATCCATCAGTACACGAGTGGAAATCACAGTGAAGACTTGCATGTAAGATGCAAGAAGCGAGGCCCAGTTCTAGAGGCACACCGTAGGAACAAAATTAAAACACTTCCAAGAACCAATAAAAATGAGATATATGAAAACAAGTATCACAAATATCAAACTTGAAACATTGGATAATAAAGAACTGACTGAGACTAATAAAATCAATAGCAGGTTTCCAGTCACCTGTATGTTTCAGAAACAAAGAAAGGTGAGAAAATCAAATCTTGAACTTATTTTTTATTGTTCATCCTTCATGATTGAAGAGGACCATCATCATCCATTAAACTACAGTAGCTTCTTTACTGATGAGGTTGTAAATCTCCTGATACCAATGCTCAGCTCAAACAAGGTCTGAAGTTGGATGAACAGAACAGGGAATACAAGAAAGATGTAGTGTTGATACCAATTCTAAAGAGAAAACCTACAGAATAGGACCTGAAATAACCAACAACTAATGTTTCCTACTATAGTACAATAAAACAAAATCTCCCCTCTACAAGAATACAAATGAGAAATTTTAACAACTGAATGTGAATGACATATTTGGTGAACCAGGAAGGCTGAACAGGTATGATGAAACCAGAACGGCTGAATAAGTAAGATGAAATCAGAACGGGTGAATAGGTAAAATAAGGACTAGAAAGTGTGAGTATCATAAGGAAAAATATGATCATCCAAACCACTAATTAATAAAGCAAAGAAACTTGATGATTAGAGGCAGCAGACCTGATGGCTAAAACATAGAACTCTGGCAAAAATCAATGAACAAGGCAATTGGGCAATGTAACTATTACAAAAAAATAAATAAACAGGAGATACATCCCTAGTAAAGTCCTATGCCAGGAAATTCCAAGGACAAATAATCCATGTAAAGACACACACACACACACAGTTAACTGAGAGAGGAAGAAAGATAAGAAGATAAATCCCAAGATAAATTATCTGTGTAACAAAAGAAGGACTCCATAATTAACAGAGTATATATAGCTAGTTGTAACAAGGAGACTAAAGTCTCTTGTAATGATGGAACTTAGATATTATCATAAACACAAAGGGGGTAAGCATCTCTCTTATGCATCAAGGAATATAAATTTTGCTTCTAACAAACCTGTAGAATCAGAAGTAGCAGCAAAAGAAATAAAATGACATACATAAGGTCAAGTTTGTTGGATCAGAAATGCAAAATATCTACAAAATCAGAGAAAAGTTGTAAATCTCAGTTTTCAAATGAGAAGGACAAAATGGTGAGAAATAAAAAGAACATACACAAAACAAAAGGAAGCACATGATAGTGCAACCAGAATCATGAAAACTGGACGACCAAGGTAATATGACAAGACATGTCTAAAGTGGGAATCACAAAAGCATAATTCTGAGGGTTTCTGAAATGGGAATGCATTTAATGAAGAATAAAAAAATTTACGAACCACTACATGAGATGGATCTTGTCAAGGCAAGAGAAACAATCCACCACCAGGATATGAAATGTCATAAAGTGGATATAGTGACTGTAGGCCCAAGAAAGGAAGTCTAGAACAAGAGAGCAGAAGTCCTAAGAGCAGGTGCCTCCCTGACAGTTGGCTGAAGTAATGCTTATAGAGTTGTCTGAGTGGATCATCAAAACATGACTAAACAACCACCACCGAAGAAGAAGGCAAGCCCGATAAGCTGCTGTAATCTTCAGAAAGTTAATATGCAGGGAATGCTTCTCTAGAGATCAGACCCTGGAGAGAGTGATGATGTTGAAAACCACTTCCAAACCAGAGAAACATCAGTGGAAAGATACAAGTTGGGCCGGGGGGAGGTGGTATACCCTGGGAATGGTCAGAGCAATGGAGCCACCATGATAGAAGGAAGTAGAGAGAAAGGTGGAGACT